ACCTGAGTTTCATGAAGATGGCTATTCGGAGCCTGAAAAGGAGCCAGTGTATTCCTGTTTGGCTGGGCAGGTTGCAATGACAGGCATCTGTCCAAGTATGCAGAAATGTACAAGGATTTGGGGTAAGCAAGCTAGCAATTGACAAGGGTAATAACTGTATGCTGAGCCTCCCCCATGCCCACACTGTGAAGAGCTGCACTGTGCAGCCTGATTGGAGGTAGATAATGTTGCTCACATGACAAGGAATGAAAATATATACCCCATCAAACACATTCTACCGCACCAATTGAGCCAGGGAAGGTTGAGCATCTTTGAGTCTTTTGGAGGGTGTTGATGATTTTTATTAAATATATGATGTTAGTTTTATCTGATTTCATATATCATTAAAGTTAATATCTGAATAATATCATATGTCCAGTGAATGCTGTCTTTGCCTGCAAAAAGGCACTGAAATATCAAACTTTTATCAGCTCAGCTCATAGAGCATTTGCACATGACATTCTTAAGTCCTGGGCTTGAGTTTCACATGAGGTTCATGTTTTCATTGCCGGTCAGATGAACAATATCTGTCTGTAAGGAGGCTGAACAATGCATTCCCTCATAGCCAGATTTTGGAAAGAATTAACACACAATATAACTTCACTTCCAAACCACCGACAGATGTGCCACCATCCGCTACATCAGCCCAGTCAACTACATCTTCTTCACACCGCGCGAGCTGCTGGGCGTGGCTGACCAGCTGATCGACCTGGTGACGGACCTGACACTGGAGGTGCACCCGGTGCTGTTCCACTGCTTCAGCAATGGTGGCGCACTGGTGTACCGCTGCCTGACGCGGCGTCTGCGTGAGCGCCGGCTGCCACTGGACGTGCGCGGCGCCGTGTTCGACAGTGGCCCGCTGCGACCGCGGTTGGCCAGCGGCTGGCGAGCCCTCCAGCTCTGCTCCGCAGGTGCGCCGCGCCCCTCAGCAGCCGACCGCCACTCGCGCACCTCGCTGGCGTGAGGAGGAGCAGGGGTGGAGAGATGCTGGTCTTCAGGCAATGTGGGCTGGTTGGAGTCAGTCGGGTGGCTGTGTCAGCAGGCTGACATCAGTACTGGGCCTGTCTTCGGATGTTGCATCGGGCTGTCGAATCGACGTCATGTTTGTTTGGACTCCATGCTGGTGTCTGGGTCCTGGTGTGGATTTCGGGTAAAGCTTCCTCCTGTTCTCCTGTTTGTCTTGCTGTATCACGTGGGCGCCGTGGGCTAGGTTGACCCAGTCCGTGCCGCGCACGGGCCGCAGCCAACCTGAGCGCGTCGTGCCGCCCTCGCAGGCCAGCAGCGCTGGTACCGCTGGCTGCTGGGCGTGCTGTTCATCCTGCTGATTGTCTGCCGCTTCGTCTGGGAACGGACGCTGGGCTCGCGCGAGGACTCACTGCACCCCTGGAGTCTGACGGAGAGTCCCGAGCGCTGGCCGCAGATGTTCCTCTACTCCAGCGCCGATACGATCACTCCGGCCAAGGTCAGGCCTGTTGCCCGCGGTTGTCATGGGCGGAGACGGTTGCGCGGGAGGCGTGTGGTAGGAGTCCTGTCCCTCAGAAAACCGCGGTCAGGAAACCGCGGGTCTTTTACGTCATGATGAGGAGTCGGGTTAACTTCGCCCAGCGACCAGAAGCGAGGTGTGCAATATTCGCTCCTGGTACCTCTTCGATCTCGGAATACTGACTTTCTGTTCTTTTGTACTAGCGTCAAACTCGTGTATCTGGTACGAAAGACAACTGAACGCTGCCCGCCTGTGCATGTTGACTTTCCAGCGAAATTCGCCATGAGCTCTGCTCAAGGACGACGCCAGTAGTAGCCACGCGCCGACGACACCAAGAGCGAGCGGCGCCGGCGGGTGGCGAACCGCCCGCGAGCCGCCCCTCGCGCCGTGCTGACCAGCCCTGCCTCATCCGCCGACAGGACGTGGAGCAGTTCATGGCGGCGCGCCGTGCCCGCGGCGTCGACGTTACAGGCCACGTGTTTCGCCGACTCGGCGCACGTGCTGCACTACCGCGCCGAGCCGAGCGGTACCGCGCGCTGGTGGCCGAGTATGTGGCGCGCGTGTGCGG